ATTTTTCGTCTGTACTATAAACTGGATACAGTCAGCGTTATAACCAGCACCTGATTGCCCGGGGGAGTGATTCGCCGCGGAAATCTCGAAAGAGATCTTGGGGAACATTAACAGCAGCGATGTTGAACGCCGTGATCTGTCGGACCCAACGTACCCAACGTTACGCTATACGTATTTGAGTGCACTGTGGTCACAGCGGGCTGCACATTAGCTATAATATAGCCCGGAGTACTTGCACAACCCGATTTTGAATGATTTGCGCAAGGACATACCTGCGGTGTCATTATCAGGTTAGGCGGCAGTGGTGGTGATGATGATGACCGCCTATATGAATGGCTCACACCCACACTTGGGTATTGGTCAAGAAACAAGGCATTCAAAGGGAAAAGTGATGTCACGTACAATTTGTATGACTAATGAATTATCGAATAGTTAGCATCAATTACAGATGCTAATTGGCGACATGTTCCCTATGCCACTGAGCGGTACCCACAACGGGCTGATGGAGAAAAGCAAGTGACTTAACAATCACTTTTGCTACCTTAATTATCACGATTATTAAGATAATGCTATACTATGAAGGAACTTAAACTGTGTAGATTCTTCAGAGATATGCACTTTACATTGATTTTATTCTTTTACCCAATTTCGCAATTGCGGGAGGAAGTGAACGACGCAATTAGATGCGTAATAAGTTCATCGTTAAGAAAAATTCTCAAAATCAAGCATATTCATTACAAACTGAATATTTAACAATTATGGACATCTCCTTTTAAATAACAAGGCACCGTTCGTTTCATGGCCGATCCCCCAAGGTGGGTTTAGCCAGGATAAAAGGGACAGACAAACAAACACAGCAAACCAGGTCGGGTCTGGCACAGTCGCCTTTGTGTCTTCACTGTAATGAGAGTGAATCTTTGGAGCACTCCTTTTTGTCATGCCGGAAATTCAAAAGCCAAAGAAAAAGACCACTAGAAGAACCCCTACTAAAGTTGGACTTAAACGTGACACTTCCGGTGATTCTTTCATTTGGCGCAATCGCATTTGGTTTGAGCCACAGGAGCGTTTTTACCACTGTTACAATTTCTTTAAAAGAATCTAAAAGAATGGAATGCTAAACACCGCTAAATTCAGTTGTTTTATGTTTACGCTTTTTTTTATTTTTTGTGTGTGTTCATTATGTTATCCTTTTCAAGGTTTTTTTATTTGTTTAGAAATCCATCACCTTTAAATTATTACCTATATTCTTAGCTAATGAATGCAACTCTTCTTTTCATGAAGTGAACTAAAATAAAAAGCAATTACCGTCCCATGCATGGCCTATCCCCTTAGGTGGGTTGCGCCAAGTTGTTGAGGAACCAAACAACCAACCTTTCGAATTCTTCTATATGAGCTGTTTAAGGCTGCCTATACATTTAGACCTGTCGAAGACCTAGATAACAAAAAAAAAAAAACATACATACGAGACACGGTACGAGAGATTCCTCTGTACTGTAGCTTTTTAGATTCCAATTCCCACATACGGAAAGGCTAAATTTAGGAAAGGTTAGTGGAGCCCTTCTGTAACGGATCTGAACAACATAAAAGCCGAAACAATAAACATAGGAAAGTGGACCCGCCCAGTTGCACTTCCAACGAAAGAGCAGGTGGGAGTGTATACTACCCCTACAAGAATCGTAACATTGTTACGTTGCCAGAAAGGCATCAAGAACTAAAAGAAAGGGCGATAGAGAAGTATCTATAGTGTGCAATATATTTCGAGTGTTCGTTATCTCAAAAGCACGTCAATACGATATAGACATACACATGATAGTATGGATATAGCAATCTGTATAGCGAACAACCATGTAAAGCAGCAGCGATGCATCAATAGTAAAATAATAGTAAGTAATATAGATAAACTAGTAAATATTGCGATGAGCTATAGTACTTTGTGATGGTTACTGTTTCGAGTATATCAATGACGTGCACTTGTGAAAGTAAACAGTTGAAACTGTACGCCCTACTTTTCCTGTTCAAGTCGCCCTCGTTTTTCGCTTGGTGCAACTACATTGTAATGTCCTGTACCGACTATAGACCAAGTAACAGCTTTGCTGCTCTTATAAAAAGATGGCGCAGCAACGCAAGTCCAGCGCACACGTCGCCTCATTCAACGTTAGCTGCAGAAACAGGTGTTCCGAGCCGGGCAAATGAGCGAGAGCGAAGCGGTAAGTAAATAAATAACGGCGAGGCGACGACAAACGCGACGCGGTGAATTGGAAGGCCCGCCGCAGTAATGCGCGTAAAAGCGCCACCAGCCTTCCAAAGCGTATACCGCGCCTCTCGCCTCGCACGCCTTTCTCGTTTCCTCCTCTCGAAAGAGCCGCAACCGAACTCCGCAATGATCGGTCCCGTGGCAACAACGACACACACACTGGAGCGAGATATTCTGCGTAACACGGAGCTGCGCGTCCCATGCTTTGAAGTAAGAAAGACAACCACGAACGAAACTGAAGGGGAAAAAAAATCGAAGATAACAGCAACGCTGGCATCGGCGCGCGGGAAAATTGGGAGCCGCACTGGGAGACGGAGGGTTTTTGCGACAACGAGAGATTGGCGACACAGTACAGAGGTTCGCAGTGGTATATACGGATATTTTGCGTCTCTTTACTTCATCTTGTTTGTTTTTTTCCGAACTAGACACGCGTTTTTTTTTTTTTTTTGTGGGGCGAGGATATTGTGACAGAAAAAAAATGGTGAGAAGAGTCACAGACAGGTCGCGAGGGAGAAAGAAGCTTTCTAAATCTAAGAAGGAACGGTAATAGAAGAAAAAAAAAAAATGCGACGCAAGAAGGGAGCGACGTAGAGGGCAGCATCGTCGTGCTTTCGGTCGGAGAGAAGTGACAGTCTGGTAAGGGGAAGCAGAAAGTGAGCGAGAGAAATAAACGTGGAGAGAGAGGAAACGGACGTCCACTCATTGGCTGGCACGCAAAGACCGCGACCTTTAGGACGCCACGCCCACTCTTTTTTGAAACGTGACCGGCAGCCGACACGCCCACTGGGCCCCCCTCTTTTACAAGCCTCCCTCCGCACTCTCATGCCGGTACGTAACTCCACCCCACTCACTGCTGTACGCTCTCGCGCTCCCCTATAGTTCCCTCTTGCGACATCGAAAGAGCTTATAGACATGTAGAGATGAAGAAAGGAAGGAGAGAATAGAGTGATAAAGAGATGAGAGAGGGAACTAAGGGGGAAAGAGAGAACAGAAATCCAAATTGATATTGTCTGCGTGGAGGGCCTCGTCTCGTCGCCATTGCTGTGCCACCCGACAGCAGCGATCCGCTCTCACTGCAGCCGACGGAGCTTCGATGTCCGCCGCTGTTCTTGTTTTTATTCTCGTTTCTATTTAGTTTTGCGTCCCCCCCCCCCCCCCCGACCACCATGTCTGCTCCCACCCGAATACATAGTTTCACATCAATTCTTTTTTTTTTTTCTAATCTGATTTATCATTTGCGTTACCTGCCTCCGTTATCAGCGCTGTTTCTCTTGCCGCGGACAAGTCTGCTTCGATTGCGGTTTTATTTATTATTAGGATTTTTTTTTCCGGATGAGCTACAGCCAGTATAGCACCGTTTAGTTCGAGCTTCTGTTTTCATCACACGTTGTTTCTATATTATACATACACGCTGAGGCTTTTTCCCACGGAGAAAACAGCGTCGTCTAATACGTTTCTTCGAGATTCCCAGCGCGCCATGTCTCGACCCTCGGTTAATTTTGATTTTTCCTTATTTTCTTAAGGAATCGAGCTGTCGTGAAACTATAGGTGAAATAGCGAGGAAGGGTGTGACGGCCGCCGCAACGGGCTGGTCATGCTGTTCACTATTTCACGTATGGGTATCGGTGCTGCCTCGTTGCCGTTAAGTATCTTCAACAACGAAATAGACAATGCAATTAACGGTAGAGGCTTGTGCGTGAAAATGTTTGGGCTGGCGCATTTGTCATTTGGAATCCATGCCAATTCACGTCGCGATGTACAAAAATAATTAACCGCCAAAGGTGTCAGCGCCCACGTGTCTTGCGCCATATGATCAATTAGCATAGCAAGGAGTTGTGTAAGAGAAGTTACGAAAGGCGGAGCAGAGTAGTGAATGGCATAGCCATTAATTGTATAGTATGTGTGAGGTGTAACATTATATGAGACAGAAAGAGCATAATGCGTCAGGGAACAAATAGGGCTTTTTGATATTGCCACGGATGTTAGGCGTTGGTATGATGGCCATTGGTCATTAAGGGTAACTGATCAGACTCCGAAAAAAAAAAGGCAAACGCGTAAGGGGGAGACAGAAAATTATAGCACTAGTTCACATAGTCTCTTTTTTTGTTAGATGCGTTTCTTTGTAACTTTTTACCCCCTATACCTTCTGTTTTTCGATTTTTCCCCCGTTTAGTTGACTGGAGCCACCCCGTAAATGTGTGGCATTATTATCAGCATCCCAATGGCACAATGGTTGGTTGATTGGTTGTTCCTCAGAGTCCTGGTGCAAACCACCACGGGGGAGCGGCCATGAAATGGACGGTGCCTCATTTGTGAGATGTAATTGTTTTACCAGCTGGATTATTTAAATAATGATGCTTAAACAAATGTCCCAACACATATGAGGATCCTATTCTTCACATCCACCACTATCATCATCATCGAGAGTCGCAGCCAGGGGACAAATTTGTTTATTTATTTAAATGATTACATGCAATAGATCAAGCACCACAATTTCCTATAGGTTATTGGTAATATTTCTATTATATCTCCATTATTATAAATCTGCACATTTTTTAAAAACCACTCAATTCTTCGTGAATTGAGTGGGTATGCGCCACAGACAAAAAGTGAACAAGAAGAACAGCGTGTGATGCTTCGAGCTTGCTGGCCATCGTCCATCAGGCTAAAGATCATTTATACCTTCGTTTTGGGGGCTATCGTATTTATTTTGGAAGTCACATACCTTCCTGACATCTTCAGAGAGATGGACCTCGTTTGGAGCGGTTACGTGGTGGACACTCCCGGATGCAAAATGCCCTTCTACGACCCGTACCACTGGACCGTCAAATGGAGCACGCTGAAAACACCGTTCAATTACGAAGGCTACTGCGTCAAAGTTACGAGACCCAAAGCACTGCGCCAAGCTATCGACGTCTTCAACCTGGATGAAGAAGTGCTCCGAAGGGAGTACAATGCGAGCACCAATGACATCGGCTGCTACTATCAGGCGGTGCTCCGAAACGTGTCTGCGGTAAACCCGGACTCCAAGCCAGTTTTGGGACCTCCAGTCCAACTCGTCTTCGGCCAGCCTCTGCGACAAGACTACGTCCGCATCTCGTGCGAAGCACAAGGCACGCACCTCTTCTCCGAGTACTTCTTCGTGCCGGTGGAAAAGAGAGACGCGAGCGAGCCCCTATCTCCAGGACAGCTTAGCGTCCTAATCCTGGGCGTGGACTCGACGTCCCGGATCAACTTCAACCGCCGCATGGCCAGAACTCGAAGGTTTCTGGTGGAGGAACGGGGCGCCTACGAGTTCCTCATGTACAACAAGGTGGGCCATAACTCGTTCCCGAATCTCGTGCCCCTGCTGACGGGCATATCAGGCGCCGACATGTCGCGCCTGTTCAGGAACAATCACTACGACACACTGCCGGCCATCTGGAAGGTCTACAAGTCGCTCGGATACGCCACGTTCTTTCTGGAAGAGATGGCCACCTGGGCAGTCTTCACGGGTGCACTAGGTTTCAAGGAGGCGCCTACCGATTACTACGCGCATCCCATGATGCTACTGATGGACACGAACACCTCGGATCCCGTGGCGTGCATGGGCGGCCGCCTGAAGTCAAAGGAGGTGCTCAATTACCTCGCCAAGGTGCTCGAGTTGCACGAAAAGCGGAGGCTGTTCGCCTACGCCTGGCTGTCGTACATGTCCCACGACAGCATCGAACAGGTGGCGTGCATGGACGAGCCTGTCGAGTTGTTTTTCAGGAACCTCGCCGGCAGAGGTCTCCTGGACCACACGGCCGTCGTGTTTCTCAGCGATCACGGAATGCGGCAGGGAACGTTTCGCAGGACGGAGGTAGGCCGGCACGAGGACAAGACGCCGTTCTGCCTGTGGGTCCTGCCTCGCGGCTTCCTCGACAGACACCCCGAAGTCGCCGCCTCGCTGGAGGTCAACCAGCGGCGTCTCGTGACCACGTACGACTTTCACGCCACGCTCCTAAGCCTCGCCTCCCTTCCAAAACTGAGCGTGGTCCCGTCGAACAAGGGCTTGAGCCTGTTCCGACCCGTGCTGCCAGAGAGGACTTGCGAGGAGGCCTTCGTGCCGCAAGCCTTCTGCGCGTGCGTCGGTGCCGAGAAGAAGCTGGACGACGCGTCGTTGGGCCGGTCGTTTGCCCTCTTCGCAGTCGCCCACATCAACGCCGTGGCGGAGGCACGGTTCCCGGGCAAGTGCGCCGCCTGGCGTTTGGACAGCGTTGATGATACCAGCTCGTTCGGAGGACGCTCGGCGGGCAAGGTGCTGGTACGCGTCTCGTTTAGGACGTCGCCCGAAGCCTATTTCGACGTCTACGGCGGCATCCGCAACGCCTCGTCCTGGGAAAAGCACGTCGACTATGTGGACCGCAGCGACAGCTACGCCAACAAAACCGCCTGCCTGGAGAAGAGCTCTTGGGCGAAGTTTTGCAATTGCAAAGACCAGACATAATCGCTGATGCACATCTTGTAATTCATATACGTGACGTAATGGCCTATACAGATGAAAAAAAAAAAAACACATTGCGAACCATACGGCGTAAACACGTGTGTCCCTTCTACATTCGAAATGTCCCTCAGTTTTGTTGTTGCTTAGGTGTGTTTATAGGTGTTGTTTAGTTTGTTAAAGAGACATTATAACAAGAAGCAACACTCGCGTTGAAAGACAGCACAAAATATCGCTGCATCTCTTTCAACATTATATGCGGGGTTTGAGTCCCAAAGACAACCATATGTTTACGATAGACGCCTTAGTAGAGGGCCTCTGAAATTTCGATCATCTGCGATGTTCTTGAAGGAGCAGTGACACCGCACAGTTGTAGATGGGCGCCTCTACCATTTCGCCCCCATCGAAATGCGACCGCGGCAGCTGGGGTCGAACCCGCGACCATAGTGTCAGCAGCTGAGCACGCACCCACAGCCACTGATCCACTGAGGCGAACCACTCCATTAATTTGACCGCCCCAAACACACAGCGCATGACCTTTTGCACGACGGCATACACTATATATAATTGATTGACTGATATGGGGGGTTTAACGTCCCAAAACCACCACATGATTATAAGAGACGCCGTATAGAGGAGGGCTCCGGAAATTTTGACGACCCGGGGTTCTTTAACGTCCACACCCAAATATGAGCACACGGGCCTACAGCATTTCCGCCTCCATCGGAAACGCAGCCGCCGCAGCCGGTTCCGATCCCGCGACCTGCGAGCCAGCAGCCGAGTACCTTAGCCACTAGACCACCGCGGCGGGGCAGTATACTATATATAGACCTTGACACACGTTAACAAGGAATCTTTGGGGAACAATCATACTTTTAAATATGGCGTAATATAAGCTGTGAGACGTGCTCAAATTATGTTGTTCGGAATATTAGCATGAATGGAGACCTGCGATCAATTAAATACAAGGGAAGATAGTCTCACTATATTGTGTGCTATACGTCCTCAGTAAAGAATACAGCAATAGTTCCTAAATCTCACGTATAGAAATATGTTAGAACTGTGGAGCCACATGCGTTAGTGACGGAATACGAATGGCTCGGCTGAGTATATATTCTTCGCTTCAATACCAGGTATACCTTACCAGGTGTGTATATATATATATATATATATATATATATATATATATATATATATATATATATATATATATATATACACATATATTAAATCTGTTATACTTATCTGTTATGGTATAGCGCTAATATCGTTCTTCTGCGAGTGTTGGTGTTGTTATATGTGCACGCCAATGTTGTTTCAGTGACGAAGCTTCTTAAGGCGTAGGTCTGTCCATCCCTTGTATGTATGTAGTAGTACGTAGCCAGCGGTGGCACATACCTGAGAGAAATTTATGTAGCGCGAGGCGAAAAAACGAACACAGAAAAGAATAGACTGAGAAGACTTTCCTGTGTTCGTTTTTTCGCCTCGCGCTACATAAATTTCTTTCAAATGTTTCACCAACAAGCCCACATTGCCACACTTGTGGGCACATACCCACTCTAGAGCGGGTATGTGCCACAGGAGATCCGAGGTGGGAGATGGCGGTACTTGGAGTGTGCCAGACAGACAGACGTGCAGACAGACGTGCAGACAGACGTGCAGACAGACAGACAGACAGACAGACAGACAGACAGACAGACAGACAGACAGACAGACAGACAGACAGACAGACACATAGATAGATAGATAGATAGATAGATAGATAGATAAGATAGATAGATAGATAGATAGATAGATAGATAGATAGATAGATAGATAGATAGATAGATAGATAGATAGATAGATAGATAGATAGATAGATAGATAGATAGATAGATAGATAGATAGATAGATAGATAGATAGATAGATAGATAGACTCATGGATGGACGCATGGACAGATGGACGGATGCTTGGAAGGACGCATGGATGGTCGCGCGGACGGGCTGACGGACGCTTCGCCCCACTCATCATCATTCACTCCGTGGATATGCTGTGATTTTTTTGTGGAGGACCACGGTGTAGTCGCAATCCCGCGCCATATTCTGAGCAAGCGTTCTCGCCAAGATTTTCGTGTACTTCTGAATCCTGATGCGCTTAATGCACCTTCACTGCTGTCAAAACCTGGGAAACATGATCCGAGTGATTAAATTGGCAATCACGCTATTAGCGAGGCGGTGGCGGCCTGTCTTACGTGCAGCGGGTGTTAGCCGGATGTTTTTTCAGAAGCGTGTTTAGCAATTTCAGAATAATTTGTGGGAATTATTTCTTGGTTATTCCTGTAGCTGATGTCAGTCTAGACAAATTCAGTGTATTGTTTATTTTTCTTTCTTGTTATTTATACCGGGACCAGCAGTCGGGCACCAGAACCACAAGGCAGGCACCAATAATCGCAGGAACATAATCACAACACCACTGGTTTCATCTCGTAGTAAATATGTAACCACATAAAAAAAGTTATCAGTACGGACTCTGTCTGCGATGTGATTAGGCCGTATGAACAGAACTATGAACTTTGACGACTGTATCCTTTTGTTGTAAACGCCCTGTATTGTATAAGTACATAACGCCTCTCAATGTTTATTTCTTCTTTCACTCTTTAAATTTGTCTCACCTTTGTGTGGATTATGTATACTACTATCTACACGTTGGGATAGCCGTATCTCACGTATCTGTACCTCGTGACATTTTCAATATACAGGTAAAAAAAGTATACGTCCCCTACTGACCTTGTGTCATTGAGGAAAAAAAAGCAAACATCATAATCGATATCCGCCTCGGACATCAGCATAATTCGTTTTTAAACCAGTTATTATTCCTTATGGGGCTATATACCTTGGGAAAGAGTCACATGGTTCTTTTCTTTTGGATTCAGAAATTATTCATCGATGCTAAAATACTATCGTGCGGAATTTCGCTCACTCTCAATATTTAATTATTAGCAACTGGTAATAAAGCGACTTTATATCCCTACACAATAAAAAAAATGTTACGCTGTGAAACTTGATGGAAGAAGTCCACCCACCACTGAGCCAACCACATTGCTGGGCCGGAGCCATCGTCATAGGTGACCATAATTCAGAAGAGCTCCATAATTTCCATTGTAATCTGTAATCTTTCTATTATAAAACCTTCGTTATTCTAAAACATCAAGCTATTTTATAAAACTACTCGATTGATGGCCAATCCCCCACATTGGCCATGAATTGGCCAATCACCCACATTGGCCATGAATTGGCCAATCACCCACATTGGGGATTGGCCAAGAAAGAATTCACCACAACACAGTGGGTGTGTGCCACAGTTAAGAGGCCAACAAGCTCCGCCGTGGTGGTCTAGTGGCTAAGGTACTCGGCTGCTGACCCGCAGGTCGCGGGATCAAATCCCTGCTGTGGCGGCTGCATTTCCGATGGAGGCGGAAATGTTGTAGGCCCGTGTGCTCAGATTTGGGTGCACGTTAAAGAGCCCCAGGTGGTCAAAATTTCCGGAGCCCTCCACTACGGCGTCTCTCATAATCATATGGTGGTTTTGGGACGTTAAACCCCACAAATCAATCAAGAGGCCAACAAGAACAAGAGCAGCTCATAAAGCTTTCAATACAGGTACCAATATTTTTTAGTCAAGCTTTAACGAAAATAAATTACCAGATCAGGAATTTATGGTCACCTTCCATTTGCTTGGTACTATAAATAGCGTCCCACTGGCCAATTGTGTACCTATACTACGAAATTTCGATACGGTATACCAGCAGTTAATATTTATTTATAAGGCCAGGTGTGGTGCCCGCTCATAATATGCTATTGCAGTCAAAAGCATGAAAGCATTGATAATCTTTAACGCGATAGCGTTAAAGGGCACGTCTCGCAGAAAACCCGCCGCCGGTATCTGCCCCGTTGGTTGGGAGCGAAAAATTGTCTGTGCGTCTGTGACCGAAAAATCAAGTTACCGAGATAGCCGCGGGAGGCCCCTACTTGTCCATGCACGCGCGCGCGATCACAATGACAAAGCCGCACATTTGAAGAAAAAAAAAAGTGCTCAAGGTCACGAGCCGCGGTAGTTTCTTTGCCCTGCCACCCCTCCCTGCTTATCCCCGAGCGCTTTCGTCGGGACGAGAGAAGAGATAGTGCAATTGTAGCATGCGACAAACCTTTGTAACTTCACTCGCACTGCATGGATTCTTAAAATTTTTGCGGCGTTGAATTCATAAGACAATAATCTCTTCTAGTGAATTCATTCCATGGTTATTTGAAAAAGTGTTTCACGGCCCTTTAACGCATTTTGTTCGAAAAGTGTCACGACGAAAACAAGCCCATTCGGCGATAATAGCGCGCACTGGTCCAATTTACTGTGTGCGTGTTTGTGTGCGTGCGTGGGTATGTAACAAGACATATGAATAAGTATGCACTTAGCGATTGAAGGGTGAACTAGGGGCCGGACTTCGCTATCGCGTTCAACAAGGCTCCTCCATTTTTTTTTACTTATACCTGCAAGCCACATGAAAAAAATTGAAATTTTGTTCAGGAACTCCAGAATCACTCGGAACTGATTTCGTTTGCATATGACGAAAATGCATGTTCTGAATGTTTGATCATTTAGAATGTGCAAAATAAATATATTATGGCATGCCAGTATTTTCTACTAATGAAATGTTTCAATACGCGCGAATTTTGTAACTAATGCATACAATTGTGTGTTACTAATGTGTAGATGTATACGTCACTGATGCAGACTGTTTTGGTATATAGGGGGAGAGACCTCGTCAGGCTTTTAGTCGTTAGTCTTTGCCTCCCGCAGGGAAATTCTGCATTTATTTCCCTGCAAATAAACAATGTTGATGATAATGTTGAATTCTGAAAAGATTTTTTTTTTCCTTTGGGGTGTCTTCTCTGGGCTACAGCAACAGCAACGTATGATAAGCCATGTGTGAAATTTTATGTGGCAAAAGAATTCTTTATTAAAAATATTCCT